ATATATATTTAATTGTGAATCTGTTTGTGGTTCTTTATTAAGTGAAAAAAAATTGTAATATGTATATTTACATATTTTTTATGTACATAACTAAGTACGGTACCCCAGAAACTATATATAGACACATCATACAACTTACAAAGATAATTAGAAGGATAAAGAATGTAATACAGTGGATTTCATTTATTACGACCTTGGTTGTAGCGACCATTTACCTATAGAGACGTTAAATCTAAGTCCCTTGAATTTAAAGCATATTTTAGTACAAAATTCATGTGTCTATAACGACTTTAGATGTAACGCCGAGTTCGGGTGTAGCGACTATTCTTAATGAATCATTTGTAACAAATTCCTAGAAATCCCATGCAGATATTGCGACCGGAGTCGGCCCCCAAAGACACAAAGATTTCTTTCTTTCACAAACATTTCTTATCTTTTATTTACATCCATATAGATGGTCAGCAAGTGTGGAGACCTTTACCTATTGTTTATAGATATCAGCTAAGTAGGTAGGGAAGCGTGTACGTTTCGGAGTTAAGTTTATGGTTCATTTACAAAGTGATATTCTGAGTAGCAACTGTAATGTATTGAATTTGTTACCTTTGCCGGATATAACGACGAAAATAGAGTGGTCCCTTCATCGTCGTTATACCCGAAATCCACTGTAGTATGTTTTGTCGTCGAAGCGATCACGCTGTGCTTGACTTGACCGCACATTGACCCCAAACGAGTTATACCTAGTAGAAGCACAGTATAGATTTATAGACTGTGGTAGTAGTTTGTATTTGTAGTTCCGCCGTTCGCCGTACTACTCCGTCTCCGTGCGGGACGCAAGGGTGAAACGAGTAAATAATCTAAGGGGTGAAATCGCAAAATTTTGTAGCTCAATACCCATTCATTAGGGTTTTTTATTATTATATTAAAACAATTTAAAACAATTTTTTAATCGTTACCTGGTTTAAAAATTATTTTACATTTTATTACATTTATTTGTTACAAATATGAATTAAAAATATCATTTATATTTCATCGTAGGATTGACTAAAAATAACACTTCAAAAGATTTCCAGCAAACGATTGATTTAATATAACTTTCAACCGTGCAAGTGCGATATAACATATACGATAGAACGATAGAAGCTTAATTTTATAGCAAATAGATCTTACAATTTTTTTTAGTGTACTAAATCCAAAGGATATTTTTTTCCAGTAAATTTCTTTGTAATAAATAGCGCCATCTACAACGTTCTATAATTCTAGTCATTTTATCGAATCAAAATCGATGGACTCTAAAGGTGGTAAGTGCGATAGACGCTAGATGGCACAAAGACAAAGACCTGATTTTTGCATTTGCTTTGCTGAATAATTTTCTCAATAACGATTTTATTTTTATCTGGGACGCCCTGTCATTGCCTATACTTGCAGCACCTAATTAGCACTTAATTTCTTGCTATTAATATTTATCGTATATCTAACAACTTCATTGCGTTGCCAGCGATACGTTTTGCCAGCAACGCAAATTTCAATGGTTCGTTGCGGTGAAAATTTTGGTGCAACTAATTTTTAAACTTAGTTCCTAATTAGCACCTAAAAAGCCCCTAATTTGGACATTTTCTGAAAGCAATTTTGATTCTATTTTGATTTTCAGGAAATCTAAATTTTGCATCTGCTATGTTCTGAATAACGACTTTATTTTTATTAGGGGCGCCTTGTTATTGCGTATACTTGCAGCACCTAATTAGCACTTAATTCCTTGCTATTAATATTCATCGTATATCTAATAACTTCATTGCGTTGCCAGCGATACGTTTTGCCAGCAACGCAAATTTCAATGGTTCGTTGCGGTGAAAATTTTGGAGCAACTAGTTTTTAAACTTGGTACTTAATTAGCACCTAAAAAGCCCCTAATTTTGGATTTTTCTAAATGCAAATTCCCGATTTTGCGTTGCTGGCGATACACAACTTAGATTTTTTACTTTATGATTTTATATTCACAATCGCTATACATTTGGAAAGCTGATTGGTGGTGATTGTAGCTATAAAGACTGACCGGTCAGAATTTTTTTCTAAAATATCTAAAATAATTTTAATTCCTGCACTTTACTTATTTTCATAACATACCTAATACTTAAATATACCCACTGGAATATGTAATTAAGTTATGGATTATTATTAATAACATTTTAGGAAACAGCGAAAGATATAAGTAGTGTAGTTGTACCACTTCTAGACCACCTGAGTCAGACGTGGTTCAACGACGTTCGTCGACACCCGATCCTAAAAAAAAAAAAAAGGTTTTGGCATGCTCTGATCACGAATCCGCGGTCCATTTTTGTGTAGAATGCACGGTTCCGGAGATGTGTAGATCAATTAGCTAATATCTAATTGATATCCGGTAAGGGCCTCCACCGTCATTAGCGTCCCATTGTTCCTATTTCTATTGTTCTATTGTTCCTTAATCACCTTCATTGCAGCGTGTGCGTCGACTATATCAGTGCTATTGTATTATAATTCTTTGTTTATACAACGCTAATCTGAATCATCAATAAAACACATTACATAATTTTGTTACAATTTTTATTTATAAAATACAAAATCTTATTAATTATTATCTATAAAATAGGAGCGAAACATCTCATCCACTAAAATATCGTTGTACAATGTGTTCTTTGTAAATATACTCGTAAAACTATGTATTGAACATCCTTGAAACTTATATAGTAAATACATTAAGCAATATTCGCCACAAACTGAAGTCCACTCATTCTGAATCCTATCAACATTCCAGTTCCATCTTTTACAATTCCTTTTTAAAAACTCTAGATGATATCGTACAGGTGATCGTCCAATAAGCTACCCAATGTGACCCTGGTTTATCATCTGTATCCAAATTACATATTATATACGTTGGTACGTGGGTATACATAGGCAGTCTATTAGCTGCATAAACATTATTTTCTAGACTGGGGTGAATCTTTTTCAGATGTTGTTGTACATCTAGTGTATCCATGATATTACTGCTATTAGTAGATTATTACAGTACCTAGCTACTCAATGAATAACATAGGAATGGTCAATTATAGTGATTTCTACATATTAAATTGCATTTTTGTGATATACAAATCGTACTTGAGTCATTGATCACCAAACAAAACACAATACGAAGAAATGTTGAGATAGGCAACGGAAATGTGAGATAAACTGATATGTTTCTAAATATTAAATTGCATTTTTGTGTTATACAAATCGTACTTGAGTCATTGATCACCAAACAAAACACAATACGAAGAAATGTTGAGATAGGCAACGGAAATGTGAGATAAACTGGTTGACGCATAAAGTAATTATCAACTCATTACGGAAATACTTTAGATTAGAATTTTTACGTACTGGTGGTATATAAGACCAACAAACGCAGTCATCGAGTTAGTGTACGGTCGTTTGGCTACAGTGGATCTATCAATAGTACATTTGTGTTACTTCAATACACCAAAGGCTATGGATGTAAGTGTTTATTCTATTGACTAAATTACTTTTTTTCTGTTATTTTCATGTGTGTGTATTATTTTATTTAAATATTGTGTATGTATATGATTAAGCCGTGGTAACTCAGATGGTTAGCGCTAGCTGTAAATTTCACAGTACGCGACCCGGGTTCGATCCCCGCCAGCACCAATTAAATTGTTAATAGCAATTTTAAGTGCTTATTACCACGTGCTTGGTGGTGAAGGAAAACATCGTGAGGAAACCTGCATGTCTGAGAAAATTTCGAAGGCATGTGAAGTTCGCCAACACACATTGAGGGAGCGCGGCGGACATTTCCTTGCTCTAAAACCCTCTCAGAAATGAGAGGAGGCCTATGTTCAGCAGTGGACTTTAATAGGCTGTAACTTTAACTTTTTTAACTTTTATGATTAAGTGTTAACAAATTGATATTAACATGATAACTGTGTTGTTGCAGAAATCATTGAGCTTCGATGAAGATACCTATAAACAGTATTACTACTCGCCACTCTCCCCTCAAGAAGAGAGTGATAACCTCGTCATTAATAATAACACATGCGATGGTGGAAAAAGAAAATCGCAATCGATTGATCATTTTTTTGAAGCTGAATCAAAAATAAAAAAGAAGAAGCTGTTATCATCAACCGTAGCACGAGCCGCTAGAGATGGTGTATCATACATTTCTACTAATTCTGACGACGGAGACCAAGCTACGCATCTCATCAAAATTGAAATGTACGATATGAAGAAGCTATCCAAGATTCCAACTACTGATCATTGGAAACATGCTTCCACGAGAATTAAATATTACGTAAAGACTAATAAGGATAGCATCTACGACAATACAAACGCCCTCGTATACAATATAACAAAGACAATAGCAGAAAGTGAAAAAGTTAAAAAATACTTTTTTAACAATGACAGTCATTAGCTGATCATTAGTGAATGTGATTCTGTTTACTTCAATTACAGGAAGACAAGAGCGGAAGGAAGAGATGAGTGTGGCATACGTGTACAAAACACATCATTGAATAACAAAACTACAACACTGAGTGGAGAAGAAAACGAGAAGAGTATGCAGTACTCAAGAGCTGAATATCCATTCTTCAGTTCAAAATCTAGCCGTTTGCTTAGTTTCGAAAACTGGCCTCTAGTTATGCGACAGAAACCTGAAGATCTTGCCGAAGCTGGTTTCTTTTATACTGGCCATGCAGACGGGACCAAGTGTTTCCATTGTGGTGGTGGTTTAAAAGATTGGGAAGATGATGATGATCCTTGGCAGCAGCATGTTCAGTGGTTTAGTCAGTGTGCTTATGTAAAATTTCAACTCGAACAGTGTTTTGTATTAGATTAAATAGAAGATTTATAAAGAAATAAAAAAAATATATTGCATACAATTTGTTTTATTTAATTTTATAACGTTTCACATAGTTACATACACACAAAATGCATTACACATAACACATAAAATCTAACACACAACACATATTATAACCTTAACTACTATAGTCTACAGTAACATTTCTGTTTTTATCTATCTCAATAATATTATCAAACTCAGCATAAACTATACAGTTAATTGTTTGTATTAATGAGGATTCAAATCGTACTTCTATTCTTACACTACCATGCTTTATGAGATTCCAATGAGTTGATGAGTTAGCTGATAAATCAGGAGTTAAGTCAAATGCTAATAGACAGTAACCTTTGCCATACTGTTCACAAGAGATTCCATTTCCTTCATTAAGAAAGTGAATACCAGTTCCCGAGAATAGAGTATGATATGCTGATGTAAATATGCTATTATTAAAAGATGGTTGCAAAGCTTTTGAAGGTATTTGTTGACCATCAATATATAAGCTGAAAGAATTAATACCATAGTTTTCAAAGTTAAATGGATTTTTAGTAAGGGAACCATTAAATGCAGAATTGTTCACAAATCCAATTATACATCTTTTCGGTACCTGTCCTAAAAATATATTATCAAGAGTTTTTCCTTGAACACCTGAAGGAATTGTTAAAACTTTTACTTCAGCTCGAGTAATAGGATATTTAGCAGTGGTAGAAGCTAAAACTTTTTGATGTGCGAGTAATACACTTGGATTAATTCGTGCTCGTCGCACAATAAGAGTTGCGTCCGTAATGCAAACTTTAAACTTTACATCGTTTGACCCAACAATTAAATTAAAACTCTCTCTTGATCGAACCAATTTAACACTCATTTCAACACCATTAATTAAAAATTTATCTTGGTTAAAAATGTCACCGTGAAGATGACCAATCATTTCTATTTCCTTACTTTCACTAATCAATTCCTGTCTTTTAACAAATCCTATGTTTTTACCATCTGTAGAATCCATTTTTCCTGCTGTATCCTCATACCAAAGACTACAAGTAAGATGAGATTGTTTAGCAGCAGGGGCATAGTTTAAAAGGGTTTCCATGTATGCTCGATATGCATAGGTATTATTAGGTGGTGATACAAGTTTTTGGTTTAAATAAACATCAAGTTGACTAAAAAGTGAATGCAGCCAATTATTTACAGGTGCTACTATTGTAGTAGATACCAAGTTAGTTGAATCTTGATTTAATACTTTTGCCTTTATGTGGAGTAATGTATGAGACAAATCTATGTAGTCATCGCCGGTCCCAGGAACTTGAAACTCGATAGGTCCATCATCACCAAGAGATGAAATTGGTTTATAATGAATCCACAATCCATTTTCAATGCTAGTTTGTGTAGACGGTAGTGCAAACAAATCCAATTCTGACTTAACGCACTCGCAAGAATGATTATGAAGGAAAGACATATTTAGTTTGAAAATATATCTTTGATATTTTTTGGTTTTAGACTAAGTTTTTTCGCAGCTTTCACTTTAGCAGTTAATGGTGGAATGAACGATGTCAATCGTTTTCTTTTAGTTTTATACCCAGATCCAGTCATGTTAAATTGATCAATTTTCTCATCAGCCTTTCGTTTTAAATTCGTACTAACTTGCTTTAGACGATCTTTTATTGAGGCTTCCATAGGACGGGCTTGAACCATATCCGATAAAAGTCCTACTCCAGCGCTTAATGCCTCCTTACCAATCACTCGAGCACCACTTGAAAGTAAAGGTAAAACTGATCTGAATAACCCCCCTAAGAAGCTCCCAATACCATGACCGCGTTGATATGGTGAACCCTTATAAATTACTCCAACTCCTGATCCAGCTTGATGTGTATAATAATTTTCATATGGACATTTATGATGATCACGAAGAGAATTCATTATTATAATTTTCGGAAATGTAGTTTAATACACACGGTTCCAAACTGGAATGGTATTTTTTGTCCTGTACTCGATCTTATAACTATTTCCAACGTATCGAACTCTCTTCGCATAACAGGTAAGTAGTGAGGTTGAGAGAAAACGTGCATTTTATTTGCACCATAAATGTATTTTGTAGGATCTAATGAAATGACTCTTAATAAAGGAGTCATAACATCACCCACAATCTGAGGATCGATAATATCGCAATATAGAAATAGTTGAGATGGTAACCCTAAGTGTAAATTAGCAGGACACTTTCCAAAATTTCTCTCTAGGAGATTTTTATTTGGTTCATAACCTAGCTGTAAACTTAATTTGGGTGATAATGTTACGGATGTTATATTTTTATCCAATACCGAAATAGACACAAATTTTGTTATTTCATCATAGCGAAATTTCAAGTTCTCTCCGATACCATTTAACACTCTTAAAATATGCTCAACGTTATCATAGTTGGTAGCTGGAATATGTTTTTTGTAGTACACTGTGGATGGCTTATCTTCATTAGGCATTAACATAGATTTTGTAATGTATATAACATTTTCATGGTCTTGAACAGTAAACATGGTACATGGATATTGAAACTCGACAACTCCAACCGACCATTCACCTTCTAATTTTATAGCTTTTGGTAATTTCGTTGAAAAATTTGTGGTCTTGTTATCAGGAAAGTATTCCATTGAACTATTGCTGAGCAAAGTTAAATAGAAACTTTCTTTATTCATATTTCTTTTAAACTAGAAGCTAAAATCCAACTGTTAAATTTATCTGGATAACCTTTCCACTTCACTAATACTTCTTTTCTGTTACCTGAATAACGAGTGTCAATTATTTTATCTATTTTATGTTGTGAGGTGGGGTTGTAAGTGATTTTCTGTAATTTTCTTTCATAAAAAGTACCAATTATTGGTTCATTTTGTAAATCTGTTATTGTATAAACAACCCATGGAGATCTATCAATTATTGAAGATATAATAAATATTTCATCACTCCAATTTGATTCATATCCTTTTTGGAATACATGTTTATATTTAGTTATTCGAACATAATCACCCACATTGAAATTTGGTTTAGGATTTTCTAAAGAAAGTTTTTTTGACCGTCTGTCATAAAGATTAGTCCAAACTGTCATAATATTGTTGGAATTTACATCACATGGGCACATCTTAATACTAGAGTGAAAGCTGTGATTATAAGAGTATATTAAATCTTGTAAAACATCTATATATCTATAAGTATTATTATGAGTGAAATAACGCCACATTTTCATTTTTAGTGTTCTTTGAAATCGTTCAACAATACTGGCCTTAATGTCAGGATTGTTAGTGGTATAGTAATTAATCTTTTTGGATTTAAAGTATTTTTGTACATCTTTTGAAACAAATTCGGTACCTTTATCGGATTGTATGTGAGTAGGTGTTAAATTACTTTCAGTAAATATACTTTCAAAACATTCTTTAGTTGTTTCTGAGTTTTTCTTTTTCATTGGTCTTGCAAAAGCATATTTACTAAATACATCAATAATACAAAGTATATACTTGAAACCATCATTATATTGAGAATAAGTTCGCATATCACTTAAATCAGCTTGCCACAGTTCATTAATATTTGATAGAATGTACCTATTACGCGGGAATTTTTTTCGAATGGGTTTATGTAATGTGTATGTTTCTTGTGATTTTAACCATTCCTTTACTTGCTTTTTATTCATTTTACCCTTCATGGCTTTTGATAATTTATCAATACTACCAAAACCAGCGGGATTAGATGGATCATAATAAATCCTGTTAATTTCTTCTAGTACGGAGTCCATTTTTCCCACTCAAGTCCTTTACGTATTTTAGTTGTAGACTTTTTATCTCTACTGCACGGTGTAGAAAACTCTTGAACTTCAATCTCAGAGGGTTTGTTCAGATCTTTTGCTTGAAGTTGGTTAATAAACTCACATCTCCTTGGATTTCCAATATAAGTAAGTGGTACTTTAATATCTTTTAATGCTTCAGCAAATCTAACCCACCCTACCGGATCACTTCTTTTTAGGGGTCTTAGTGAATCATTTATTAAATCAACAATATTACTTCCAGGAATTTTTTCACTATCAATTATGACTGTACCTTCGTTATCCCAATGTATTTTACTTTTACTTGTTTCAACTAAGTTTAATAATAACTGCCCTTTTTTATGATAAGTTTTTGGTATTAAACTGAGTATTTGAGCTGGTGTGTAAAGTGGATTTTCATCATTTTCTTTACTTTTAATGGATCGATTCTCCTCCAGCAAAGATTCAATATCAACTGAAGTTTTTAGATCTCTATCTTTATTTTTAAAACCAATTTTTGACTCATTTGAATCTTCATTAGATGTATCAGAATAAATTGATAATTTGAGTGGTTGACGATCCTCTTCGGTAAAATGAAGGTATCTTTGCAGTGTTTGTAAATATAATATCCATTTCTTTCGGTCTTCCGTCTTACTATTCATAATATTTTGCATTTCAATATCTAATCGAGATAAATTACTATTAACCTTATTTTCTTGTTTTAATTTTTCAATCAATCCAGGTTCGATAAGTATCATTTTCTTTGCATTTTCCATGTTAACTGGCTAGTCCACTCACTAATCCACTCAATATTGCACCTAATATTGTTGGTAAGAAAGCCCCTCCTTTTTGTATAATTATATTTTTTCTTAGTTTATGTTTACACTTACGTACTAGTTTACGGAGTATGTTTTTATGTTTATTCAATTTTTGTTTATCCTGATCTTTAAGAGGTACTTTTCCTTGTAAAACGTTATGAATACACTCACAAATACAGTTAATTTCTTCTTCATCACACGTTTTAAGTAATGCTCTTTGATATTTTGGTTTAACCGTATGGAAAGCGGTTAGCAAATGTTTATACGTTGTGAGTCGACGATGCATCATTTAGCAATGATTTCAATTGTTTGATTCTTGGTGTATTTAAACTCTTTTGTGGGGACGTAGACTGTACAGAAACCATTAAATGGAAAGACATTTGTCTTGATACGACAAAAATCATTGGTATTCTGTTTTAAATGTACCATTAAATATCCATGTGCCTCTAGAGTTGCATCCCTGTAGGCATTTTCAATGAATTTTGGGTTATCTGGTGATACTTGTCTTGCTAAATATCTTATTTGAGTTTTATCTCGAGGGTTTTTAAAATATATTATATAACTTGAGTTTAAAGATATGTCTCTTTGTCCTTTACCCTGATGAAATAAATTTTGTGTTAGATAAAATACACTAAGATTCCTGTGATGACTACCTTTTGTAAATATATCCACAATTCTTCCATCGGACTCTCTCATTAGATCATCAATAATAACAAGATGTGGGTTTTCACCATCAAACATATTAAGATTTGGAATTCCTTGATGATAGTTAACATTTGGTAAATTATATAATGGTTGCATTTCATCAAAGCACCATGTGATCTGATTAAAATCACAATTACATATTTCTGTAACTGATTTTATGAAATTTGTTACAAAATTTGACTTCCCACACCCACTTGGTCCTGCCACAATAGCAGTGAACGGATGGATAAAGTGAAACATAACACACGTCTAAAGTTCAAAGGGGTGAAATAAAAAATGAAAGTGTTGGTGTAAACAATTAATATATATTCCAAAAATTATATAAAACAGAATTATCTGTATACACTATTTCTAACACAATTAGTACATCATAATTTTACAATTAACTCAACCTCAAATAAATAGAAACAACAATTAGTACATCATAATTTTACAATTAACTCAACCTCAAATAAATAGAAACAACAATTAGTACATCATAATTTTACAATTAACTCAACCTCAAATAAATAGAAACAACAATTAACTTAAATTATTTACAATAAAACAATGTTTAAATATGTAATAAACTACGTCATATTATAGTATTATCATAATTTTACAATCAATATAAATTTTTCTTAAACGCAGACATAAAAGTAAAAACTATCAACACTTAACGCAGTTTATAATGACCCCAAGCTAATGTTTCAATATTATTATCTAAAATATGTCTCTTTGTGTCATTATATGATAAACCTATCTTATTTAATTTTTGTGTGAAAATTGTGTGTTTAATTGATTTAAATCTAAGCATACTATAATATTGCACTTTTTTATTAAATAGAGAAGACTTATAACTATTCATTGTCATCTTTTTAGTGATACATTTATTTACCCCTTTTGCCTTGGCTATAGTCTTATTCTCTAAGTTAAAAGCGTACATTTTGGATCGTAAACCCACAAATTTTTTCATGATTTTACCATTATTTTCATCTTTAAAAAAACCTAATTTCTTTTTATTTAATTTTGGATATTCAAAAATATTATTTGTATCATAATCTGAGGTATCAAAGTATGATGAAAGGTCAGGTTTTATATCAGTGTAAAAATCATTTGTAAATATATGATATATTAAACTATCCGTATCTGTATACAATAATTTGATTTTACTAA